AAAAAGCCAAGGCTGCTCAAACGACCCCCATACGGTTAAAAGCCGGATGGGGGCAATTTGAAACAAAGTTTGAGCCAAGGCTGCTCAAACGACCCCCATACGGTTAAATGCCGGATGGGGGCTATTTGTATGTTTGAGAAAAAGCTAAAGGCTGCTCAAACAACCCCCATACGGTTAGACGCCGGATGGGGGCAATTTAAACAACGTTTGAGAAAAAGCTAAGGCTGCTCAAACGACCCCCATACGGTTAAAAGCCGGATGGGGGCAATTTGAAACAAAGTTTGAGCCAAGGCTGCTCAAACGACCCCCATACGGTTAAATGCCGGATGGGGGCTATTTGTATGTTTGAGAAAAGGCTAAAGGCTGCTCAAACAACCCCCATACGGTTAGACGCCGGATGGGGGCAATTTAAACAACGTTTGAGAAAAAGCTAAAGGCTGCTCAAACAACCCCCATACGGTTAAAAGCCGGATGGGGGCAATTTGAAACAAAGTTTGAGCCAAGGCTGCTCAAACGACCCCCATACGGTTAAATGCCGGATGGGGGCTATTTGTATGTTTGAGAAAAAGCTAAAGGCTGCTCAAACAACCCCCATACGGTTAGACGCCGGATGGGGGCAATTTAAACAACGTTTGAGAAAAAGCCAAGGCTGCTCAAACGACCCCCATACGGTTAAATGCCGGATGGGGGCAATTTGAAACAGTTTGAGCCAAGGCTGCTCAAACGATCCCCATACGGTTAAATGCCGGATGGGGGCTATTTGTATGTTTGAGAAAAAGCTAAAGGCTGCTCAGACGACCCCCATACGGTTAAAAGCCGGATGGGGGCAATTTGAAACAAAGTTTGAGCCAAGGCTGCTCAAACTACCCCCATACGGTTAAATGCCGGATGGGGGCTATTTGAATGATGTTTGAGAAAAAGCCAGGGCTGCTCAAACTACCCCCATACGGTTAAATGCCGGATGGGGGCAATTTGAATGATGTTTGAGAAAAAGCCAAGGCTGCTCAAACTACCCCCATACGGTTAAATGCCGGATGGGGGCAATTTGAATGATGTTTGAGAAAAAGCCAAGGCTGCTCAAACTACCCCCATACGGTTAAATGCCGGATGGGGGCAATTTGAATGATGTTTGAAAGCAAAGGTTGATCAGACCACCCCCATACGGCTAAAGGCCGGATGGGGTTACTTGTAACTAGTCTGAATAAAAACAAAGTTGGCTCAAAGGGGTCCCATGCGGCCCAATGCCGGATGGGAGTATATTAAACATCCCAGACGGCAAAACGCCGGATGAGGGGGATTTTTGGACTTGTCCCAAGCCAGCCCCATGCGGCAAAATGCCGGATGAGGGCATTTTAAAACTAGGGAAATATTTCAAAAACCTCAGACGGGAAATCCCGGATGAGGTAGGGGTAATTCAGAAATTTTGGACAAAATATACCCAGGCGGCAAAATGCCGAGTGAGGTCCTTAATCTAGGGGCAAAAAGAGGGAGAAAGCAGACGGTACCTTACTAAATCCGCACTCAGCCGGAAGGCAGATGTCAAGTTCTTGCGAAAACCGGATGCTCGAAAGTCTTGAAAGAAGCAGCCGGTATCAGAGCTTCTTCTCAGGAAATTTTTGAAAAAAATTTGAAGAAAATAAAAAGTGCGGAGGAAAGAGGTAGCCACCCTACTTATAGAAAGAGGCAGAAGGCGAACAGTCACCTTCTGCACGAAAATTTGAAATTCAAAAAAAAAAAAAAAAAAAAAAAGGGGGGGGAAGCAGACGAACCGTCACTTACCCCATGCACCCTACGTCTGTCACAGGTGACACGTGAGTTTGCCACATCTCACCTGTGAGGGGCAGATGTTTAGGGTGAAAATACCCTAAGACACGTGGCCCAATACAGGCTTGACACGTGTCAATCTTTCAACGGTCTGCAAAGGCCCAATCCCTTTGCGACACGTGTCCCTTGTACCCTAATTGAGGTACAGTTCTCCCTTACTATAAATAGTAAGGGTAGACCTCATTTATGGGGATCACACATTAATTGCAACCACACAAAAAACCAAACAAAGCCAAAACCTACTGAAACGCTCTCGAACCGAGAAGCTTTTATCGTTCTTATTCCACTTCGAAAAGATACTAACTTAATCTTCGGAGGCGGAACTCCCACCCCCATCCGGAGTCTCCGTTACTTGTGCAGGTACAGGCGTAAGAAGGAAGTCTGCTAGGAAATTGTAACTCTCCCGAAGGACAATAAAAGACCCCCAAACACCATGCATACTGGTATGAAATAAGACTTTGCGTCTTTATTTGTGGTATATTTTATAGAATACGTAGCTAGATAGAAGCATTAGTTAAACGGTATAATATGGGATGCACGAAAAAAAGTTGTAACTCTGTACACTTATTATATATACAAAGTACTATAGTAGCAACATATTATGTTGCTTCTCAGGGATATTCTACTTCGAAGCATCAAAATATCAACCTCTTCATAGACATCAAATTTCTTAATTTTTAATTTTTGATAAATTAGGCTACGATCTTGCTAAAAGGCGACCCTAATTTCCCCCTGTGTTTTACTTTAAAAAAAAAAAAAAAAAAAAAAACAAAGTATTATAGTACTACGGAGTAGTTGATAAGAAGATATCAAAATGTTTAGGACTAATACATTGATATCACCAATTCACCAAATAATGTTTAAGACCAATACATTTGATCTCAATTTCTTACTTAAGCTCAATGATCACTCAAACATACATGGAGAATTGGAGATGGAGACCACACCACACTATATCACCATTAAACAGCCATGAGCCCGGCCCGGCCTAACTTAAAGAAGACTGTAGAGGAGCTGACGTGGAAGTATATAATTGGGTAAGTTAGCAAAGGCATGAAGTCTAAAAGATGGGGACCATAAGAATGCAATAATGAGTTAATGATAGATGTGATGAGAAACAGAGTTACCCTGTTTGTAGGGGAGGTTAGAGTTATAGGGCTATAAAGCTTTTGGTAGTCAGCTGGAATTGCGTTCTTTCTATTGACTTACACTAATCATCATTATCTCATAAAGTTTTTAACTCCAATTATTGATTTTGCTACCATAAAATGAGGGGGGTCAGAATACATTCTTATTATCCTAACAACTTTTAGAATTCAATTTAGGGTTAAGGTATATTTGCATGTTTTATTTGCCCATCTTTTCAAAGGGTTAGATTAATCAGTCCACCTACATAGGTCAGGTCATCAGGAATGAGATGAAGGGTAAAAGAATTGTTGCTTGTAGGGATTAAAACTTTGATTATACGGAGTAGTCATATATAAAATGTCTACCAATTATACCAGGCATCACTTGGCTCCAAAAACAGCAAATTCTATAATTGTAAACTACATAAGACTTAACCACCCAATTTGAGAAAAAAGTAAAGTAGCCAACATTAATAAAGTTTGGTAGCAAAGCACATGGGCAACTAATTTTCTAAGCCTACTATCCTATAGCTATGATTTATTTGAATTTTCAAAAAATGTTCCATACCAAAAAGAAATTCTCAAAATTGATGAATGACATATCCCCATCCAATTCAATGGTAAATAAGACCCAAAGAAAAGGATAGATGCATTGCTTAAAACCAAATGCAAATTTATTTTTTTATTTTTTTTAATTTCTACTCTATGAACCATAAAGATCATCATACTAAATTTATGCATCTTCCATTTTTATGAATCTCACCATAACATAAGATCTAAATGGCCAACATAAAAATTGTAATGTCACAAGTCATCATAAATTCTAAACATTAGTGTAACAGAGCCAAAAACAAATATTATAAAAAGTGGGTCCATAATTATATAAAAGTCAAGACCCACAGAAAAGAATTGATGTGAATATGATATATCAAGGTCCAATTTGTATAACAAGTGTGTCTATCCGCCACACTGCACAACTGAATTGCTGTGCCATGTATCTCAGTGACAGGAGCAATCACCATTGACTTGTCAAAATTCTTTCATCTACTCTCTCTATATTATTTTACTACTATAATACTGTAATACATTACAAGTACGTACCATTTTTTATTTTTTCTATAAATTTTTTACCGTGGATTCGTGGAATATTGTCTCGATAATTCTATATGTTTGGTGTATAATCTTGGCTTTATTCAAGTTAACTTTCCTTTTGCAATGGAATATTAGATAGAGTACCTTCAGCATAGAAATCTAGAACACTGGACATGTATCTCTACTCTCATGGGCTTTTAAATGTAGAGGTGTCAAAAACTGATTTGAACTAACTCGAAAGTGACCCAATCCAGATTTTAATGTGCATGACACGATAATTTAGCTTGATTCAGATTCAAATTAGAACGACCTGACCAGATCCAATCGAACTCGATCGAGTCACCCGAATTGACACCTCTATTTAAATGTAGTTTTCGACATATTTAGAGGTATCTTAGTGTTTAATTTTTTCTTGGATACTGCGGAATCAATCATGTAAACAAATACATAAAACATGTCTATTTCTATTAGCAAGTTTGAATGTCATTAGGGTACGTTCCCAATGTGGACCTCTAATTAATTGAGAAGAACTTCAGCCCCAGTTAGGTTAAATCATAATCAAACTATTAAGTTGTGGACTTTTGTGGTACAAATTATGCCCAATAATCCAAATTTGTGAATATGTAGATTCCAAGAGGTGACTAACTTAGGAAGAACCTCTAATCACGTGATATCTAAGATTATGTCGTCCAAATTTACACCCCACTAAAATATGACTCATATTATTGGCTTTAAGTCAATTATAAATAGTGTTACCCTGCCCTAAAAAAGAATATTACTTCATCAGACAATACGCAACAACTTACAACTTATAACAAAACCCCAAAGAATTATTCACATAAAACTAAGTATTAAACGACATTTAAATGGGACATTCGCTAAGCAACAAAATTTATTTTGTTAATCAAATAGGTGAACTACAAAATATTGATTTAATCAAAAAATTCCAGGACTTTCTGGTTCAATTATCAGTAAAATGCCTTTGGTTTAAGAGAGAAAAATCCATAGAATAATCATCATTTTAATTGTTTACAGAAAAACATCTGCCGCGTACACATCACTGCGCTTTGTGACTCCCTAACTCCCGAGAATATGATCCACAACTATAGCCTCATCATATACTTTCAGCACATACTGTAAACATGAAGACAACCATTTAAACAAATACACAAACAAACCAAGAGTAATGCACCTCAACATGTTTTGCCGAACTATCTTTAACTTCTTTTATACAGAAGAGATGTTACACATTGGAAACAAAACTGATCAAGTTCATTCTGTACTCAGCCAGTTTCATTCCAAGGTCAAGGATGAATCTTATTGTGGTTCCATTTACAATTACTATACATGCATATGTAGTACAGGTACCTATACCACCAACCAATATGGCTCTATGGAAATAACAAAATTCCCCTCAGAAGACGAGTAATCTACACTATGACTGCACGGTGTACCTAGTCCAGATCATAAAAGATCTGCGAGCAACTTGTCCAGAATACGAGTGCCTCCTGGAACTTATATGTATTTATATATGGCACCAGTGTGATTGAATCCACAGGATACTTCCACTGCCTTCACATTGCTTCCAACATCAATGACAGTTGGCTGGATGTAGTCAACATCAGTCCCATGGCCCTGTATTCGGCAAAAATTATAAAAGGGAACAACAGCAGACTAGAAGATTGAAACAAAATAATGAGAATTGTATATATCATCTTCTAAGCTGTGATTTCTGAGGTTACTCAGGTGCAACTGGTTTACAGAAAGCTTCCACAAGATTTCTAAACAAACAACTAGAAAAACAACTTGGTAGAAGTAACAGTTGTACTTGTCACTTTTATAACTAACTAACACAAGGTATATAAAGAGCCTACATGTCCTAAGCGAATTGGGATGTTGTTTTTGGCCAAATCTGGCACCTGTTTAAGCTGTGCAAAGAAAACCACCAAGATCCATTCCATATATCAGAGTGCAAAACATATACGATATTGTCCGAAGATGACAGTCTCATAGTCCTACACCACCACTAGAAACTCAATTCACTATCATCTTACATCTTACACTATGCCTAAAATGATCCCTCTTAACAAGCATATGCCATGTCCATGACTCCATGAGACCTAAATGACACCTCTTCACAAATGTATACCACACCATGAAATTTGGAAAATCGAATCAAAGCATCAACGGATAATTAAGTCTAGCAATTGGACAAATATACAAAGCGATAATAGATGACAACAAACAAGGGAATTATCCCTGACAAAAAGAGCAACCATACTACAATATAGGAAGTCCCAAGAAAAAAGGGATCTCTATCTGCCACAAAAGCAACCTTTCAGAATAAGCTGGCAATTGTACTAGTCATCCAAAGACTTAAAGGTTGAGGATATAAGAACCACATGGGAACACCAAAGCCTACTAACTCAACCCCTTGGGCTACTAGCAGAAACTTTTTCAAAACGGAAGATTCCACAGTTTGATTGATGGCCACACTTTGGCGGCAGGAAACCCATCACAAACACTGTTGAAGAGATATCCCATATTATTATGAATGTTAGACCATAATGTGACAAACCAATTAATTATGGCTTCACATTTATCACACCACTAAGATATTAAGAACGGATAAAGTCCTCCTGGAATTTCCCAATAATTACAAGATGCATGTGATGAGATTAAACAAGATAAGCTCTACATGCAAAGGCCCTATGTCATGTTTGACAGATACTATAAAAATAATGGTAGAAAGTCCCCAAATATTTATGTTGAAAAACCTTGCAGCATCCCGAAAGACCTAAAGAACCTTAAGCTTCCTACAATTACGTGGGGAAAAAACAAGGTTGTGCCACACAGCCTTAAGCGTCCAACAGTAATGGAACTAAAACAAGGTTGTTCCCTTGGGTAGGCAAGTTATGATAGGAATTTTAACTTCTCAAATTCCATGAAACGCTGTTACATAACGACTGTTTTAAAATCACGCCATGCCACCATTATAGCAGACATATATTTCCTTCAGTCCTCATATACTTTTAACATTATCACTTTTTTACTTAAAATTTTCACCAATTTTCCTGACTAATTAGCGACTATGACTACTACTGTCAACACTATGAAAACCAAGGAGCGGAAGGGCTGCATGCCTGTTTCCCTATCCATGTTCTAACACTTGGAGACCATTTAAGATTCACCCCCTGGGAGTTCATTCAACTCTCAGGCTCAATGGTAATATTCTTATATGTTCTAAATTACAAATCTGAAATACAAGTAAACTATTTTTATTTAATAAATGTTTTGCATTGAAGACATATTATGTAAAAACAATATGAACCTCAGGCTTGCAAACAATGTACCTTAAAAACTGACGAGCTTAAATCTTAAAAACAATGAACCTATAGTTAATAAATAATATGTATTTATACTCTGTACTTCAAAAATGTACTTAACCTTTAATCCTTCACATTTTAATTTCTCAATGGATCCTCCCTTACACTGCTACTCACACACACTGACCCTCCTTATATAAAACAACACTTCATACACAGAGTAGATGTGTACTGCAACTACTGATTCTTTTGGATATGACTACATATGTAAGTGTAATCCAACTAGCAAGCTAAATAAAGTATGCATGCATTCCATAATAAGCTAGAAAGTCCAGAACATTTTAACGTTAACATCCAGAAGGGATCATCTGTACTAAGAGTCTAAGACATAGTTCATGTGGAGCCAAACAGGAATAACTAAAGGGTGCACAAGAGATAATAACAAACCAATTGTCCACCGGAAGAATGACCATCCACAGAAAATGTTCCGTGAGAACCTCCCCAACCCCATGTGAAAACATAGCCATCTGCCAAATATCAGGCAAAGTAAATCAGCAAAAGTCAAAACAATCACACAGTTAACAATGTAGGATAAATATATTGCTAGAGAAAAGCTTGATTATATTCTTAAACGTGATATATAGTATAGGCATCACCGCATCAGTTAAATAATACTTGTAAAGGATAATGATCTCAGGTGTGTATAGAGAATAGAGATAATGCTTGTTAGAAGAAAATAACACTATCAAGTATCAACAACACCAAAAAGTTCTGCAAAGACAACCACCCACCTGAAATAGCAGCTGTGTGCTTCCACCCACAAGAAACCTGACATGATGCAGATTTAAAAGTAAGAATATACAGATATCTATAGCAAACCTATAAGCCACATGAATCATAGTTTTGATGCATTGGTACCGTTTATTTATGTTAAGAAGCAGAGAATGACCATATTCTCTTTGGTAATGCACCTACCGGAAATTGATGTTCGCAATGGTGGGAAAAAAAACAGAATATTTTTTTTTTTTTGGTGGAAAATGATGTTTAAATTATTTCCAGTCGTTGCTAATAAAATGACTATAAACTTTGGCAACATTCGTCATTGGAGGACATAAAAAATTAGGAGTATTAATTGTCCAACATTCCTGATAGGTCCTAATTTTTACACATTTTAGGTGCTTATCTACACTCAATTGCCTATAGATTTAGAGGTCTAAGGTGTATTTTACATTACTTAATTAGGTTATGCTTTACTACTCTCCGTTTGTGTGTTTTGATGAATTTCACGTGATTTGGATGCAAATGGATAATTGTTGGATAATCTTGAGTATAATAATCATGGAGTATGAAGCTATCTCGCTCAAGGATCTCAAATCACGTGTTCGAGAGGAAATAAGGATAGAAAGAAGCAAAGGCGTTGATGGAAAGACTTGACAAATATGAGTCCCATCCATTATCTTGCTCATAACTTTTGATCTACAAATGATATTGGAGTGATTCAAATTGCATTGGAAAGTAGACTTCAAGAGCATTCCAACGATATATAACACGCCTCAAACAAAGCTCTAGATCTCAAGTAATGACCGTTTTAAGTTGAGCTACGCGCGCAATCCATGCCCTGACGAGCGAATTGAGACACGTCCGTGCCTTTGAGTGGCACGTCCGTGTGTGGACGATTTAGCCTGTTTTAATTTCCTTACTTATCTTAAACTCCTAGCTTTATTATAAATACTCCTTGGCTTTATTATCCCATGACCCCCATTAGTTTAGAACCCTAGTTTTCTCTCTAGTTTTATTTCATTAATTCAAGTATTATATTTTCTTCTTCTCTTTCTTTTATTTTATTTCTTTTATTATGTTATTGTAGATTATTATTCTAGGGTTAGGTTGAACCCTAGCCATGATTGATACTTGATTTGTTCTTTTAAATTCTCAATTAATTGTTTATATTGTTCATGCTTAATTGATTGTGCTTATGCCAATACTAGATTAGGGATAATTGGTATTGTTATTATTCCATTGTCTTAATCGCACAGGAATTGGGTTTTGACGGATTTGAATAGATCAATTAAGGGTATGAAATTCTCCACGGAAGTAGGTAGAATGGATTATTAGGAAGTTAGGGTGTCGGACTTAATGTCTTTAATTTGCATGATTCCACGGAAGTAGGTTTGATTTTTAATTAGGGAAGCCATTGACAACTTAGGAGAGATCTTTGGTATTTTATAGGGCGTACCTTTCCTTGTGAACATATAATTAATTGGCTGAGTAAGACTTTGTCTTTTATTGATTATGCTAGTGGCGATACTTAATTCTAAATGTTTTTATTATTTTTGATTTGTGTTTGATATTTGAGTAGTCATGGTTATTTAATCCATCATTTTATCTCTTATTTAGTTTTGTCATTGGTAAAAGTTGATTGTTAAACTGAAGGGTCTTGGACCTTGCCTTTAACCTACAAACAAAGGAAAAGAACAAATAAAAGGGAAAACACAAGGAAAACCCACAAAAGTGGATGAAAACACAAAATAGACAAGGAATAAGGAAACTAGAGAGAAAAAGAGCAAAACTAGGCATTTATTGAGGAATAAAGCCATGAAAAAAAGGTAAAAGCAACCTAAAAACTACCCTATGAGTGCCATAAATGCCATTTTTTAAGGCTAGAAAATTGAAACCTCACATGGCTGTAACAAAAACTCACTATTAGCTTCAAATCCACTTTAGGAAGCAACACCTTCTTACCATAAACAAGTAGACTAGGGCTTCAAGATCCCAAAAGTTCTAAACACACTACTTAGCATACTCTATCCTAGAGTCAACCAAGCATATTCTCAAACTGTGCATACCGTTACCATATAGGATGTCATTCATTCAAAAATATAAGTCCAAATGGTATTATGTCTAATTCATAAGCGAATGTAACGAGTAAAACAAAACAATGCCTCAAACAAAAATCTTTATGGAATTTTTTTATATTCAAAAGGAATAAAAAGAGAAAAGAAAAAGAAAAGGAGTTTCACACCGACATCAAATCAATTCACACCGACATCAAAAAGAGAATCATTAGACCCTCCCGCCATTATCATAGAGAAGACATGATCAAATTGGGCATAAATGAGGATTTGTGGATGCTTTTTTGGAAACCTTCGGATAGGCACATTTGTAAATTCCGCCTACCGAACATATGTCGAGCCCACAAGGGAGTTTCTAGCTTCTTTCTCTACCACCACGATGCCGATTTTAAGATATCTTTCTAACTTTTTAATGTCCCTCATACCCTTTCCCTCCGAGAATTCAATGAGGCCCTTGATTTTAACCCCGATGCCGATCTTCCATTCCCCGAGCATGAACATTTCAATGGATATGCGGAGTTCGCTTGGTGGAATGCAATTTCGGGGAAGGAGCAATTTACCGATCACTACTCTTTGGCTAGTGACATTTACCAACCATGTCTTCGTGTTTTGCATAGGCTTTTGGGGAATTCGGTCTTCCCCAAGCAAGATTTGGGTAAAATGTTCAAGATTGAATTGACAGTTCTCTCTAGTTAGCCACAAGAGAAGAGTGGCGAGGAAGGTTGAACATGGGTCATCTCTTCATGAGGAGTTGTGAATCTATGGTGGGAGGAAGGAGAACGGGCGAGATTACTTGTGGGAGTATGGTAATTAGGTTGGCTTCAAGATTTGGTTACTCCCGCTACCTTGCTTCTTGCACTCCCGTCGGTGATGCAAACGATATCTACCTCGACATCCCCAAATTTAAGCAAGTGAACTTCATTGCAAAGAATGGTGATGATGATGTAGTTGATTGGTTAGTGAGGCATGAGCATCGGTGCTATCTCCCGAACCCTTCTTTGACGACGACGCCAACAACAAAAGATATTGCGGCTTTGCAAGCACAAATGACGAGCTTGCAACTTTGGCTTGGAAGGCATGTTTGAACAAGATTTGGCGGCTATGCACACACAAATGAAAAGCATGTAATTTGGCATACGAGGGCTCATGGAGATGCAACAAGGTATGTTTCTCCAACAACAAGCTTTGTTTGATGCGAGCGTTAACCGGGGCGAAATCACCCCCAAGGATAATTATCCATATTTTCTGCCACAACACGGTCCCTACCGTCTTCGGGGAGGGGGGGTGATGGTAAGCCTACATATCCATTTTGGCAAGGTCTGCAAGGACCTAATGCCGAGTTGCGCTCTTTTCCGAATGAGCACGTTAACTATGATTACCGTGTGCCCAGTGGGAGCGATTATAGGGGTGATCCTAATTACCCCTATGTCAATCCCACTCACCCCGCCCCCCTTGAGTGCCCCCGCAATATACTCCATTGACCTCTTGGCAATAAGACATTTCGAGGTCATTATGGTTGGTCACCCGGTTATACCGGGGGATGGGAACCTTATGGACCCCTGCCTGGCTTTTCCAATGATAGGAAGAATGATGATGGTGGGACCGGTCCTAGTGGCCAATAGTCCCCTAATTGTGCTTTTTCCTCCATCCCTTTATTGATTGATCATTTGCTTTGTATGATGGGATGTTGAGATGTTTTCATTATAGCTTAGGGGATTTCTTGTTTATTTGTGGGGTGGGTGTGTGTTTTTAGCGTGCTTGTTGCCCGTATGCTTGTTGTGTTTGTTTTGCATGATGCTTCTCCTTTGCCATTGATGCTTTTTTCGGTTGTTGTTGTGATGATGATGAAGCTTTGATGAAATGATGGTTTTTGATGATTTTTCTTGATGATGATTTTTGATAATTTTTGATGATGATTTGAATGATGTTGATTGTCCTCCCTTTAAATCCAAACCCATGAATCCAAATCCATCAAATACAAATTTTTTCTAGATTAGTGTATAGTTTTATTTTGTCGTTTTTGTTTTGAAGTTACTAACATTTTTCTTTGTGTATAGTCTATTTTCTTTCTCACATTTCCATATAGATCTTGCTATGCTTCTTGGAGCAACATGGAGGGGTAAGCTTCTCTTCGCTTCCCTTATAAGTCTAGCTTGGATGTTTGGTGAGATCTTTCTATTTTTCTCTTTTTATCATTCTTTCTTTGCTTAGATTAGGAATAGCTGAATGGTTCGAGGATGTTTGCTATCAACACCGTAAGGGTGTCTAGGGTCAATGGCGCTGTAGTCGAATGACCACTTGTTTGTCGGTTGGGATTTATATGATTTTGCATGCATCTTTGTGCTTTTCTTTTGTCATTGGTAAAAGTTGATTGTTAAACATCCTTCTCTCTGTGGGATCGACCCTGACTTACCCTATCACATAATTAGGAGGTCTAGTCAGGTATTATTTTTGTTAGGTGCGCGACACGCCTATCAATTCCAAACACTTACCAGATGAGAAGCAAGTAAAAAATAGTGGTTAGAAAGTTTATAAACATATATTTAGGATTAATATTGACAACACTGGAAAACTAAGTCAAATAAATGAACTCTTAATCCCTGTGCAAATGGTTGAAATAGCAAATATAGCAGAATATAGGGAGTAAAATCCAAGAATAGCACAAACCTTACTCACTGATTGCCTAAGAAAAGGACCTTCAACTCTTTCAGGGGAATGAATAACGTCCGTACAACTAGGTCAGTAGAAAAAAGATCAGAACAATTAATACAAAATGATATTTTATAGTAAGTCATTATCATGGTCTAAAAAGACTATTTGATCATTTCAACTTCAGAAATCCCACGGATACATACCCAATGCCAAGGCAGCCATTTTCATTTGAACCCCATGCATACAATTCTCCGTGCCCTGTGAGAAAATTTACAGCAATAAAAATAAGATTTATTTTAAAAGGCTAGCTGGCCAAGTAAGATTTCATGTGCATCATATAGCAAAAGGATATTGTTGAGGCCTTGAGTGTAGGAAGAGCTGCCAGAAAACACAGTTGGAATCTATGTGTCTATTTCTACATATTTTAAGTTACTACACCTTACATCCTCAAATCTAGGAGGCCAAATGCTAGGTCATCTACATAACTAAACAGAAGTCATAACTCATAAGCATATGCCAAACAAGTTTACTTAAAAAACATTAGATCAAAAGAATCACTTGGAATATAAAATACTCACACCGATTAAATAATCTTGGTAAATGATGTCAAACAAACAAATAGATCAAAAACACATGCTAAACAAGTTTTAACAGAAGACGTAAAGCTCTATTCTATATGAATCTGGTATTGTGAGAAAAAACCAAAGGGGGTGTTGACAAAGAGTAACTTGGAGCAATATGAGTAAACCTCAAAAGGTAGATTTTGACTAGTCGATCTACTACTTAGTGGTGCTTGGTAAAGAATGGATTGTATATGGGTATACTGAAATGATAAGCATGTAGAAGAGTGGATACCGTAAATACCTAACTACTACTTGAGACATAGATTGTTTATGTTATGCTATCATACAAAACAAGTTGCTTCAACATTAGTTTTATAGTGGATTATTACACTCTTTTATTCAAAACACAAAGGTTTGGTTGATAGTACATGTTATGTTTTCCTAAAACTTAGCAGTTTTAATTGTCTTTTAGCAAGTCTAGCATATTTATTTAGTGTGCCAAATTCCCCACTTTCCCTTATTTAGTTGCTTGAGCTTAAACTTGGTTTGCTTAGTAGCAATGCTTTTATGTAATTCATGTAGAGTGCTGCAAAAACTTCAATATATTAGCAAAATGCCTTTCTACTTTTGTTATATCTGTCCAATAAAATTGGCACCACAGCTTTAGTGATCTTTGAGGCTTTTGATGATAAATGCTCCATCTTTATTTTCCAATGGCATAGATAATTCCTCGTCCACTATTATTATGCTGAAGAAAAACAACAATTGACTCACAAGCCATCAAAATTAAATCCAATTGAAAGCCATGAGTTTGAATGGGGCCGCCATTTTTGAGTAATCCTTGCCTTAATGAACTAGTTCTCATACTATACCATAAACTTCTTGGAAGGGAAACAAATTTTACAAAAATTTAGAAAAGATTAAAAGAGTAATAGAATTTACTTGATACAACACAGGTATGATAACCACCACAGGCAACTTCTTCAGAAATAGGCAGTTCCGTCATCATTGATGGCCCAGTAATATTGTCTGAATTTCCAAAGTTCTGCAGATTGAATGAATTAGACAGGATGGTTAAACTACCATTATCAAGCAACCAGGAAATTATACTCCGTAATAATTTTGATTCATTTGAGCAATTGAGCATTAGCATTAAAAACTCACAAGCTTGTTTATTCTTCTTTCACCAAAAATAAAGACATTGCCATTTTCTGCAGAAACAAAGGGAATAAAAGACATTAAATCTGATTTTCTTAATGAATGCAAGGTAACTCCAAAATGTTATCTGTAACACAAATACCATCAATACAAGCTGAATGCAGCAAGCCAGCAGCAACTGTTTTGACCTATAAACAAGTAATAAGCTCATTAACATGTTAAACTCCGGATGACCTAAATATTTAAAAACCATTCAAATAATAAAATATGAAGTACCTTGATCCCTTCAAGTCTCTTGATAAGCCTTGGAGTATAGTTACTGCATTAATTTATTCATACATGAATATACATCACATGAAAAAGCTTGGCACTTAAAAGATCTCCTAGGTTCAACATGTTAGCAATTGTTGCCTCTTTCTAATCATTGAACAGGATCTAATACAGAGGAGCCAGGCATCAACATGTTTTCTTTTAATATTAATCTTTGTGCCATTTCTGATTTGTGTAAATGGAATTCCACAATCAAATTAACAAAGAGGGATGGACAAAAGAATACTACCATCCACACAACTTCGGACTTTAACAAAGAGTCTGCAGACAGCGATCCTAATAACAGAGATCTAGTTTAACATAGATACGCTGTCAGCTAAAGTGACATTCGCTAGTGACATGTTCAAAATTATTATAACAAGGGATCATATGGTGAGTCACCCCACAACTAATAAAACTGGTCCATGGGCACATGAAAACCACCAGGGAAAACAAAATTTTAGGAACTCTTGGGCAGAGGTTATGCAGATGGTTTAGGAACTATTGGGCAGGGGTTATGCAGATGGTCCTGAAAGTGAATGATTATGAATAACTAAAAGGCTAATGGAATTTCCTGATAATGTAAATGTTGACATATGAACACATATTTAGTGTAAATGTGTAAGAGACAAGTCCAAGAAAGAACTACGAATTTTGAATTTAATCCACCTAACTAATAGTCGTGAGTCTTGTGACTGATCCAATAAGCAGTGGGACATTAAAAAATAACCAAAGCATCCCAGATAATAGATGTCCAGCAATAATAATATAATATAAACATACCTCCTGCTGCTTAGAAAATTGAACAAGCCTGATTGGCGGTCATGACCAAGTCTTCCAGAACTTCCCATTCCCCAGCTCAAGGTGGAACCTTCATCTTTAGACCCAATAGAATATAGAAGTTTAGCAAGTAAAAGAAAAGTACTTTGAATAATATATATAGGTAAAGTAATAAAAATAATACAAAGAATATACCAGTAACAGCTATAGAATGCTCTGAACCTAAAGCAGCCATTTCGATGATGATCCCAGTCAAGTAGCCAACTTTTAGTGGTCTTAAGACTGCTGATGGTGCTCCTGAAAGATAAAAGGCATGTTACTAAATTCAAGGAAACACGTTCATACACAAATTTGGTATGAAACAGTAATGAAACACTAAATTTGATAGAAATAAAGTTTTTTTTTTTTTTTTTTCCACACAGAAATAAAGGAGCTTTGGTGTCAAATTAACTAGGTAAGACTGTTAAAAATATACAAGTTTCACAAAAAAAGAACACAAACTCTAATTTTCCCACATTTAGAGTTGGAAAGGCAATAATAAATACCATAGAGTATGAAAATAACATATAATCAAACTCTATGCATTATTCAGATATAACCTGTACTAAAGTTCAAGAATCCGGAAACATGCTCACGTTCAGCAAGCAATGCCTGGCAAGCATAAAATATGAATGAAACAAAAGCAACAAAGAAGATATGACTAACTGACAGAATTGTCATAATGAGTGACTACAAACAACAAAGTAATGACTGACACATCAAGCTCTTGACACTATTATAAACACAACCCATAATATTCTGAACAATTGTTACATTATAAAGAAAAGAAGCTTCTTTGAAAAATGAAATAGCAAACTAAGAATTAAGAAAGTAGCAGTTACCCTTCCCAAGTCCAAGCTGTCCATTAGAGTTCTTCCCCCACATGTAGAGCTCCCCATCAACTGTAAGTTGGAGAAAATTGTTTAAAAAAGTACAGAACAATGGAAATCCTTGAAACTTGAGAGATAGGAGGTATGAGATCTTTAAATAGCAAAAACGATGAATGTTTAAAGACAGAACATTGACTTCCCAAAATGCAGACAATTCTTAGATTTTTGGTTTATAATGGATTATACTAAAATGGCTAATTAAAGTGTGAAGCTGAAGCAAGTGGTTGTTGCATCATTATAAATTAGATGACGGTTCAGTTAGTGACAACCTCCCAATTATCATAGGGATAAATCTGCTTCCAAGTAACATTCGAAACCCCACGCAACCGGCCAAGCTGGAAGCTTCTCAGAGGCATTAGGTTAATGTTGATGTAGATGTCTTAGAACATACATACAAGTAAGAAACTATATAGTGATGAGGAGTTACAATATTCTACACAAGATAAAATTCCTATAATATATCAGTGAAAGCAAGAATTGAAAATGGCAAAATGTTAACAACTTTTGGTCCTTCCTTCAGTCTTTTCCACTGTTTTTAATATTGCATCATCACTAGGGGGAAAAATGGTGGAATACTAAAATATTTACTCCAACAACAACTTCAACAAAGCCTTAGTCCCAAATTAGGTAGGGGTCAGCTAACATTGTTTTGTTGTTTTGGGGGGGAGGGGGGGTGGGCGGACCAGATCCCACATCACATTAGGTTTGCACCACTTAATGAGCGCTATTAAACAATATAGCATACAAAGAAATAGTTATCAACTAATTAGAAAGATATAAGGGTGGGGATATCAAACTCCTGACCTGTAATTGCACATGAGTGACAGTAGCCAGCTGAAACATGTTTAATCTCTTTCTCAATTCCAAATACTTCAGCCGGCTCCTAAAAACAAATATCAAATATCAAACAGCAATTTTTTAGCAGTTCAACCACAGCCAAAGGCCAAACTGTGAGCTTATACAGTTCTACACAACACGATCAAATCTGAGAAAAGTAAGGCATAGAAACAAGAATCGAGAAAAAGCTAAAACATACAGTTATAATAAAGCAAATAAGCTAGTGATCCCTAGTGGCTAACATACAAATGTGATAACCTCTGAGTTTTGAGTTACAAAAATACCAAGGAAATGGAACTCTGCACGTAAGATGTTCCTTCAATGAAATTACTCCTTGAAAAGGTCAAACGATGAAACCAACAACAGATATGAATGTATTCATTCAGGACCATTTAGCCGCCAAGTAAAGACCAGATCAAATAAGATTTGGATAAGAAGAACTCTTGTGTCTGTATCAGATCAAGGATCTAAAAAAAAGAACTCTCTAATATAGCAGGAGCAAAACTAAGAAATCTGCCCCCCACACCCCACCATACCTTAAACAGGAGCCTCTCCAGAAACATGGGGTAAGTTGATCTAATCATGGCCATGTCTGATGGAAAAAAGTAAAACATATTTGAAGTAGGTATTTTCCTTGGTTCACAACAATCAGTTCAATATATATTTTCATTCTCAACAACTGGCCATAATCATTAGCTCACAAACAGGGGCCTCATAAGGGATATGCTTTTAAGATCTTGTCACAAGATTTATCACAAAATAAATTAAAAACCTATGACCCCAAATATTCCTCTTTAGTATCTCAGCCTCCATGGTCTACCTTGTCTACAGTTCCTGCACACTGCAACAAGAAAATGCGAAAACTTAAAAACTCTAAAACTAGCTCATATATGCAAATGCACCAAAGGGTGGGTTTTAGTCCTTTTAGAGCAGTCGCCAAATCCACAAGGAAAAAATAAGTTCTCTTTCTTAACATTTTTTTATTATGCTAGTAATCTAATACTCTTATCCTAATCTCCTTCCCATTTGTCACTCTCACCTCCGGAATACAGCACCATACATCCTACTCTTATTGTCATGTCAATCATGCAGTTTTTACAGAAACTAATACAGAATTCTTAGTTCTATTTTTGATAGTAGCATTGATTCCCTTGCAGATCTTTTCCAGCATTGATTCCCTTGCAAATCTTTTCCAGTAGATTTCTTAAAATTAAATGTTTCAATTCTTTCATAATCTAGTTCTAAGAGGGATTAAGAATTAAGATCTAGCAAAAATTAAATTTGCATAATGGTCCAAAGTTTGACAGCAAGCTGATTCCGAGAATTACAAAATCAAGGTTGAATTCAAATCTTGGCAGACATATGCCAAGCATCTGTCCAAACTAACAGCATCCCATTTTCCCAAACCTTCAAGGATACAGTGTTAACATAAGCAAGAAAAGCTCCTACTAAAATATTGCCACTTGTCACTTTCAACCAATCTCTATTTCTCAGTCTTTAGACCATAGAGGTGGTCCCCACTCAAAAGATCTATACACAAAGAAAGGTATGGTTTGAACTTAATATTCATTGTATTGATCTTCCATTGTATTCATTTACATGGGCTTCTTGAGAAGGCAACCCTTTGAATATCTCTTTTTGTATCTGGTTGTTATTTTCATGCCTAAGATGGACAGAAAGGAGCTGTCTTTCTTTGGGGAGCTGACTACACAGACTCAATACCAACTTGTGTTTAATTAAAACCTTTCCAATTAAAAGCTGCAGGAGCTTATGCCAAGGAAATTGAAGATAACAGAGAAAATCTTATTTTGTGAAGCTCGTGGAAAAAGTTTATGCTTTGGAAACCACTTGGTAAGGTAGGTGACCCTACGCAAGCCTGAGGATGATCTGAGTCTTAGAAATGTTATATCCAACATCCAGGCCTCAGTGAGAAAATGCCATAATTGAGATAAGGTTTTCTATCAATCAGTATGCCATGCAATAGAAAAATGAGAAGCCAAGACAGGGACAAATGTCAGTTGCGCAAAGGTATCACCTACTTAATGCACCTTCAATATATGGTGTTGTGTACTCGTGTTGGTCGTGTAGTCACATTAACATAATCTAACACCATTAAACTCCGGCCATCAATTCAACTTCCTCCAAAACAAGGGAAACCACGTCCCTCACCATGATATCCCCTTATCATTATCTCGCTGTCCCCTCTATTTTGGCTATTTGCCCATCCAATATTCCAATTGTTGCTACAACCAATACTTCCAATTTCTCCGATACTTAGATGACTTACTAGACCAACGGTACCAAATTTATCCCCCCAATTTCCCTACATATATTACTAACAAGGAAAATAACCTTGAACACATAAAACACAAAGTTATCATATAAGTGATGTATGAACAATATGTTCAAAATGCCTTCATAAGAGTTATGTGGCAAGTTACACTTCGGCATAGCAGAAAAAGATTAAGTGTTACTGCTCCTTATCCTTAATTTGCAAGATGGTAGTACCAATCATATTGAGGATTATACTCTACAAAGTCAAAAACCTATAGTTATCTGTTTGGCAAACAAAAAAACAGCACCCAAGTCCAAAAAAATAACAAAAGACAATGCAGGACATGTTACATGTTACATGTTACATTTATTTCTTGGCCTGACTATGGCACTCGATATCGTACCATTGCGTAATTCTTATCATCCGAAATCCCAAGCTGTCCGAAATCATTGAGTCCAGAGGCATAAACACGCCCAGATTCTGTCATATGACAACTAAAACTGAAATCCTCCCAAATTTACACACACAAATATAACCAAAAAAAACAAAATCATACTAACATTGCAAAAACGAAAAAAATTACCCAAACATAAATCAAAATTGAGCTTAAAACATCAAAATCAAATTGATCAAACCATCAGTTCCAACTCCATAATCATAATTGAAGAACAAATGCAAGACAAATTGAAGTAAAAACCTGTAAGAAAAAGAGTGTGAGCACCACCACAAGCAATAGAGCGAAGATTATCGCCATTGAAAGCAGGACAAATTACAGGCCTCCATTGAGAATCGACGCTTCCAAGGCCTAATCTCCCAAAATCGCCGTTTCCCCAAAGCGCAGCAAATCTCTTACCTCTTTCAACGGTAGAATACAATCTCGAACAAAACCCTATCCCTAAATTGGGGTTGAGAATTGATGATTTGGAAAATTGGGAGTAAACTGCTCTAGTCCACATTGTAAGAAGAAGAATTGTTGTTCATGAGGAGAGAGAAATTGGAGAAATTGTGTTAATGGTGGAATTTCGAAGGTCGAATTCAGTGGAGATTCAAGGATTTTTGAAGAAGAAGAAGAAGATGAATTTGAAGAAGAGAGAGAAATGTATAAGTTCCATGAATGAATGAACAGACGAACTGATGGTTTTGGAAGCTGCAACGTCTGTGTATGTTGCAAGCTTGCAATGAACCTCATAGAAGGTCGATACAACTGTATTGTGCACCGAGTAAAATATGGTAGTGGGTTGGGTTGGATCGGGCCCATTTAGGACCAAGAATTTGGGCCCAAGTTTGGGCCTTATGTCCAACCCCAATATTATTGGCCTAAAAATAGTGGCATTTTAGATAATTATCGGATTGGGTTAAAATTATAGCTAAAAATTACTCCCTCCCTTTCTTTTTTTTTTTTTTTTTAAAAGTCCTAGTAAAAGACATTAAATTTCATTAATTAAAGTCATACGGCATTTACAATTGACAATTAACAATAATGAAAACGAATTTAACAAAATCAAACAAGAACTAATCGGGGAAGGGCTAAGAATCCAAATACATAAATATAACAATTCGGCACATTCTCGAGACGTTGTCTCATACAACTTTTTGAGTGGATCTGTCGTCGCTTCACAATTTTGTGAGAAAGAAAATTCTTGAGCTGATTTCGTAACCCGAATCCGAACCATAATCAATCGTAGCCCCGCACAATTGGAAACCAAATTAAATGCAAATAAAACCTTATCTTTCGAAGGAGATCGAAAAAATCTTGTCTTTCGAAGGAGATAAACCCTTTCTTTCGAGAGAGACATTATTATAACCTAAGAAATAAAAAGCTTAAAAGAAATAATGATTGGAACTTTCAACCGATGAAATCCAATAGAAGCCCCTTCAAAATTAACAATGGAGGCTAGAGTTTAGGAGAGAGAAGAGAGAGGGGAGGCTAGGGTTTTTTACAGAGTAAGTTTTAGATTGCCAACATCCGAATAAAAAATAAATTGGTGAAAACATATTGAGCTTGTGAATAGAATGGTGTCCTTCAAACAAGTGTATTATTCCGATAATGGGATCCAAATTAATTAGAAAGCTAATAATTCAGTGAGGTCAAGTGATTAGAATGCCTAGCTGGAGGCCACTTCCGATCAGTAATATTAATGAATAATTAATATTACGGCTTGATCTTGACTGAACCCTTCGGGTCACACCCAATCGTGTAACGGAACCGAAGCGAAGATTTAATCCGAAGGATTAAGTGAGTAAATAGAGTTTTACGAACAAAGACGTCGGATTACGAGCTTAGAGTGTCGAAACCGAGCGTCGTACGTCGAGTCGATTTTAGGAATCGACGAAGACGAGAAAAATAATCAAATAATATATCGTGCTAAAATTACGAGGATAGCACGAGCCCTAACCACGCCTCGGATCGAAGGCAAGTGCCTAGGGGGCCGCAAACATCAAGGCGCCAAGCCATCGCACCCCACAAGGCCCAACTAGGCTGGCCGTGGCGTGTGGGGCTGGCTGGGATGCCTCATAGGCTTGCGCGCCACAAGCAAGTCATGCTTGCGAGGGGCGCTGCTGGGCTTGCTATGCTGCTGCTGTTGGCCTGCGTGTGTGCGTGGGCTTTGCGGTGGCATCCTTAGGCTTACGGCCACGGGCCAGCACGCCTAGCCTTGGGGCGCAAGGCTGCCATCAAGGCTTGCTTTGCTGCCCGAGCTGATCGAGTAGGTGGGGAGGGCAAGCCTTGCCTTGATCTCCAAGGCTAAGGTGGTCCTCCCACCTACTCCCTCTTTGTGTGATGACACTTGGCATTTGATTATTGTTTCATGACTATTTAATTTAATTTGGAATTAAATTAAATTCTATTTTGTCTTTTTACCAACTATCCCACATTGAAAGATAATGGGATTTCAAAGGCTCCTTTCCCTATAAATACCAATCATTTGGCATTGAGAAAAAGCATTTGAGTTGGTGAACTTGAAGGGATCTCCAAAGAGAGAAAACCTTTGTTCTAATACTCTAAGTAATTTTTGGTCTAGCACCGACTAAGGTTCGGGGTAGGGGTCGACTCGGTTCGGTAGCGAGGGTGTTAGCTGATGGAGATTCGCGCGTTTGTGGGACTCTACGCTTTCAACTCCGAGCTCTAAGTTAGAGCGAAGCACGCTACAAGGATAATAATTCTCTCTCTCTCTTCTTGTTAATCATGTGATTAAGGTTTTAATACATGCTTAGTTACTTTAATTTGTGTGCGGATTTTGGGCGGGTTTTCTTCTGCGTGGTGTTGGACATCACGAAACCCAACAGCTTGTATGTGGTCAGACTCTACTCTGATGTGAGGTTGTGTATGACCTAATGAAAAATTTATGATCAATCAATGTTACTAAACATAGAAAATTAACATAAAAGGATACAATTGTAACTAGTAGCAGCGTAAATTAATATGTGTTGGAAGATATTTTTATGTTCATATTTGGTGTGACAATCAAATACGTAGTATATCGGATTTGATTTTTCTTTTTTAAAAAAGGATAAGATCTAATTTTATCAAGGAAGTTTATTACAATCTAATTCGAAGTAGGTATCACAAACAATAAACATTATCCTTTTGGGATGGTTATTCAAGTTAGTACTTTTTAATATTCTTATTATCTCGTGTGAGTCGTGTCAATATGACATATTGGATTGATAAATATTAGTGTATTATTTGTCATTTTAATACTCCGTAATATATTGCAATTATGAATACCATTGACATTTTATAATAAAGTGTATTCATATCAGCATCAGTTAATCATAATTTACTCCAAAGGCACTCTTTGGCTGATTGGAAACTGAAAACAACTTACAATTTTGCATAAAAATAATTATGGACAATTCACAAATCACAAGAAGGAAGTTGCAGTTCTGATTGACTGTGCAACTCATAGAAAGGGCATGATGGATGACCAAACTCAATTGAACAAAATTTAGCCGCCATACTATTGATATCTTTTTCAAGATCATCGGATTTATTAGTGGAAGTCGTCAATTCTAAGATTATTCAATCTGTAACTAAACATGTTAAAACCATTCCAATCATAAAAACGACTAAATAATTAAATTACGAGAAAGTAAATGCTATGACATAGAAAAAATCAATCATCATGAAATTTAATTAGTAAGTCGTCAATATCAACGCATGATAATTGGTGCAAGATTTTTAATTCTTTTTGAGGGGCAATTTAAGAATTTATGGTCTTAATAATTGATCTCTATTTTTTTTTTACACGGCAACTGGGTCCCAACTAAAGACTCATATCATAGGAAATTTAAATAATTGATCTCTATTTATTGAATAGAGATCAATAAATTTGCAATGTATGGTTGATGACTTGGTGGCAACAAATTTCAAGTTTTTTTTTTAGAAATTACACTTAATTTGTATAGTTTTTTCCTCGTGTACTATACAATCAAGTTGGACCCCTTTGTATCATTTATTCCAAACTAACGAACGCAAGTCAAATACATATTGCTCTAACCCAATCATATCCCCGTTATGTGCATTGAGGATAAGACTAACACCAAGATAACATTATTTAACAATTTTATTATATTTCTTTTTAATTTAATTGTTCTTTTTAATTTAATCATTGCTACATGCTAATTAATCTTGATTCAATTCTTTATTTTCTTGAACGAAAGAATATTCTCAAGAATAGTAAGTATCTCAAACAGTCAACACCAACGCAGTCCTTTTTCCTTCACTGATTGAATTGTGCGATTAATTTGAGCTATCAACACCACACAATACTTATCTTTTGAATATATCACAATAATCATACATAATAATAATAATAAGAAATTCAATTAATCTTTATTTAATTTAAACTTGTTACTCTATGAGGATCGACTTCGTTTTCGTAATAATATTTCAATCTAATGTTTCCAAATTCTCAATTAATCAAACAAATAAGTAAAAAATCACAAAAATCCCTTGAATTGAAATTTTCAAGAACGAAGGGAATATAAATCAGATTTATAATAATCCATTGTAATATAATATTCATATTTAATACGAGTACTTCTATAAAGTACAAATCTCTCTAATTAAGATTTAGATGAAAAGAAAAAAAAAAGTGTTGGATAGGCAAAACTACAAAACCTTTCACTAACAACTTTTTCTTTTATTTACTTGTTTCACCTAGGTTAACAAGAGTGAAAAGATAAAGCATGACTAAAATGATGATGAAGAGGATGATTATGTTGATGATGATGAACCCTACTATGACTTGAACCCTCCTTTTCAATCCTCCATCTAAGATCAAGAAAATCATCAACCGAACACGGAAGCTTAAGCGGACCGTCGGCGTAGTACCCGTACACTTCACGAGCTTTGTCTAGTAGATTAGCGAACAATGGATGATACAAGTAACTTATTGGTATCTCGAATTTTTGACAATGATTATCTTCTTCTTCTAAGCCAACTTGAATTGCTAACCAACCTTTTTTCACCATGTTTTCTTGCTTAGAAAATAATATGAACTTGAAGAAGTAGTTTGAGTTTTTTTGGCTTGTTTGTTTTTGGTAGTCAGGAAGAAATAAGTTTAAGGAAGGGCAAAGGAGAAACGTTGGTATTTATAGTGGGATTTTGTGTGGTGATGTCGGCTGAATTGTTCATGAATACGGAATGATAATTTAAAGATTAATTATATGCTCTTTTTTATTTTATTTTTATTATGGTACGTGTATAATTAAATTATGTGGCATATATTAATCATATATTATATGGTACGTACCATTGTGTAGTGCTTGTGTATTATATGGTACGATTTTAGTGTCTAGTGCTTGTATGATATGGTCAACGGAAAATTAAATGTTCAGTGGAATGACTAAAGATTTTTAATTTTGTTTTTGTGAATGGCCCATCAATAAATTGGAGAGCTTTCAACCTTTATATTCTAATTTTTAAATCCTTTGGAATAGGAAAATGACATTTGGCCCTCTTCTTGATTACTAGTCTTAATTACTACTACGCGTGGCTTCAAAAAAAAAAAATTACTACTACGAGTATTTTTTTTGTTTGTTTTTTTTTTTGCCTCTTTTGTGACATTATTATATTTATTTTATTTTTTGGAAGGATATTAAAACAAAGTATTACCTCTTTTCAAAAAAAATAAAAAAATCGAAGTATTACCTCCGTTTCTTATAATTTAATTTGTAAC